AAAAAAAAAAGTCGATGAAGTTTATATTATTGGTGAAAGTGTTTTTGTGTCAACTGTTCTGATTATTTGAAATGTTGCTTTTTCAGAAACATTATAAATTATCATAAAATTCAATAAATGGTTCAAGAAAATGAGTTTTCTTACCATTTCAATAATAAAGTATATCAGCTAGCAGACAACATGTCACATAACAGATGAATTCATAGAGATGATTCTTTTCGATGTGCTTTGCACTCATCACAATCACCAATATCTAAATTCTTTTTATGAGAATACATAAAAACCAATGCGTGCAAAATATTTATCTAAAGATCAAATTGAAATAATAAATGAAAACTGTATGCAAAACACAGTGGTCTCAATCGAAATTCTAAAACGAAGGACTTGTGTTTTTCAATCTCATGTCATTATTTTGATGAGCAAACGTAATTAACATTATGCGAAATAAAACTCTAAGGAAAGTAAAATCTAAAGATAAACAACTCATACATATTGCTCGGATTGCTCAGTAGTTATGCATGTTCTTTTCCTGATGGACTTTTGGAGCTCCCTATATGCCATGTATATCTACATGAAGAGCGACAGATAATTGAATTTTATTATATTACACGAGGGTGTCGATAATAATGCAGATATGGATCTTTTCTATTCCAACATCTACAACTACACCCATACCCAAATCCAAACAAAAAAGTGTTTTGAAAATAAAAATCTAACGTCAAAAATCCACTTTTTTCAACACTTTATTGGCATGTCTGTTACAGTCTGTAGGCAGAACTGGGTGTAGGAAAGGTTCATCTGTCGCGAGAAATTCTTCAACACTCGTAAACAAGGTTTTTTTCATACTTGAGTTTGTGAATGATGCAACAAATGATTTCATTTCTTGTAACCAAAGCGTTATGCTTTTACCTGGTATACAAAAGTCATTGCTTCTTCAAATAAGCGAATTGCGACATACACGTGTAAGCAATCGTCTCTGTTCTTTTGCTTTTTCTCTCCTTTCCGACGTAGCGATGTTGTCACAAACACATACTAACAAAGATGCAAGAAGCTTGAAATTAATTATGTAATATCGTCTTGCATCAGCTATCCATTCAAGGATAATATGAAGATACATTGCTATATTAGAAAATCATTCATTTGCTGTTTTTCATTATTATTAAATTTTATCCAATGCAAGAAACCATTTCTCTTGATACACTCTATGCGAACGATGACATTCCTAACGAACTCTACATTCTTGTTCGCGACGGTTTAGCAGATCAACTTGATCGCCAACTAAATAATCTGTCGAATCGAATCGAATATTTGACCTATGTGAGCTGGTATGGGCAAGAACAGTTAAGTTTATTAATGGTAGCCGCTCTATATGGACACGAAAATATTGTTCGTATTTTATTTACACATTGTGAACCACAATATCAAATCGAACTCGAAGGAACAATGTGCCTTGATGATCAGACATCTCTCGAAGGTATAACTGCTCTCTATTGTGCATGTTATCGAGCACATTTTACTGTTGCTCAACTGCTGATCGACGTTGGTCGAGCAAATGTCAATCATAGTACTTTCACTGAACCTTATCATCCTCTATTAATTCACGCTACTCGGATGAATCGTCTTGATATCGTTCAATTTCTTATTGAAAATGGTTATGTTGATGCCAATCAAACTAGATCGACTACTCGCGCAAAATCGACTGCATTGGTTTGGGCCATTCGGCGAAATCATCTATCAGTTGTCAAATATTTACTTGAAAAGGGTGCTAATGTCGACTACTATTGTGAAGCGAACTTTTCAAGCAAATTTACAACACCATTGATACTAGCTGTTCATGAGGGTAATTTGGAACTAGTTCGAATGTTGTGCAATGCTGGTGCAGACATGACTGTTAAGAACAAAGCTGGTGATACTCTACTTGCCATTGCTGTCAAAAAAGAACATTTTTCAATTATTCATTTTCTACTCGAACAATCTATAGTTACCATAGATGAAGTTGAGCTTGGTATTTTATTCCTTATTCAAAGTCGATTTTTTCCTATCGATGAGAGTAAATTGTACAAACATTTACATTGCGCTCTTCAACAACGTCTAGCAATACAAAGTCCGAAAGTGCGTCGCCAACCATTGCCTATCTATGACTATCATCAAGAATGCCAAACTATAGAAGAACTGAACTTGATTAAAAATGATTCAAATCGAATTTGGATCGAAGTATTACTGGTTTTAGAACGTATACTTCTTCCTCGAAAAGATCCCAAGCTAACAAAAGCATTGAATGGCTATAGTCATTATCTGTTAGCCAAAAATGAATTTGACAAATGTCTCGCCCTATGGATTCATAGTTTTTCTCTTTGCAAACAAATGCAGCGTACAATGAATCTTTATCCATTTGTTCGGCTCTTTTGCAAGATGATCACAGCAGAGAAAATTATACCGATTGATCGATTCATTGAAGTATGTCATTTTACCTTTGATTCAACACAAAACACTCGCCTTGAGTCAATAATTTACAATCAGTTATGCTTCGTTATTATCACAGCAAAAGTACATTGTTTTTTCTCATATGTGTGATTTTTTTTTCTTATTAGTCTACTAATATTCTGCTTTAGATCTTCGAACATCAACCAGTTACTAATACAGAACAAACACTTCTATACAATTGGGTTAGTCGTCTGTGTCAACAATGGCAAATGCCTTCAGATCGACAAACGATAGTTCATCTGTGTATCAGTGGTAGCAATTATGGACTTTCTCATCGTTATTCTCCGGATACTGAACCTTATCTCAGGTATGTAGATATAGTGTATTGAATCATGTTGTTTCTCATAAAATGATCTCTATTTTCGAAAAACTACTGAACAAAACTATCTAAAGAATGTATCGAAATGAATAACATAATTCCTGCTTTCTGTTGTTCATAGTTTTCCTAATGAATCTGCACTTCGACTGGTACTCGCTTGTGGATATCGTTGGCTTGATTTGGATGCTGTCGAATCGTTGATGAATAATACTGCACTTCATCTGTTATGTAATGAATCAGAAAATCAAACAATGATTAAATTACTCTTAAATGCCGGTGCCCATATTGATTGTATGAATCGTTATGGACTCACACCATTGATGTATGCGACTAGTCAGAAAACCAAAACTTTTCTAAAGTCGAAATCAACTTCAACACGTCTCAAATGTTTATGTGCTCGTATGATCGCTAGTCAACGATTGAATACAAGTAGCCTTGGGCCAGCAAAATCAAAACTGAACATGTTTGTTTCACTACACGGATTTTCAGTGACCGAATCTGATCATAAATGAAAATAGATGTATTTGATAAAGCGCAGTAATTTTTGTTTAGCATATGAATATAATTTAAAATAAAATAAACACTATACATTTCGATGACTCACTGTATAAAAAAGATGATTGGCTTCATATTAAGCAGCACAAAAACAGCATGGCTTGACAAGAAATATGAAGCACGAAACCATCTGCCGAGAAGATTGCCGCGAAAAATAGAACTAATTCCATGAAAATTATCAACTTGATGTTGGGGTGTGAGTGTGGTGTGCTAAACAAAAAAAGTTACACCCATACCCTAATCGGACGTAACGGTGACAACGATATAAACTGTTAAGACAAATTACTACTGGATTTCTGCTCAAGCAGTAGTCTATCAGTAACCAACATTTTCTTCCAGCACAAAGAAAAATACAAGAACACATGCTATACTTCTTATTGTCTATTAGATTTATGTAAAAAAAAAAAATTTTAGATCAAAATTTTTCATTAATTCTTTTTCCAACTTTCTAGCTTTTGTTAGTTTCACAAGAGGCCTCGTCATAATCGTAATATCAAAGGGTATCTAGGTAAATGCCAAACTCAAAATAGACGCGTTTCACACCAAGAGACGAGACTGAATGTGATTGATAACATATCTAATAATTGCATTGAGACGTGACTTGTTTGGAACCTGTGGTGACGACGATTATCAATACACTGATGAATGCAATGGTGATAGGGCAGTGATCAATCATTTTTTCGATGTCTGCCTACCATAATAATGCATGTTCCTACTTATTTAATTTTCGTAAAAAAAATTCAAATCGTATTTCATTTATGGATGGATCAAAAGGTGTACAACATGAGAGCACTTATAACCATCTAATCAATTTCGAATTAGTCATATTTTTCAAAAGAAGAATTTTTAGATCATCAATAGATATTGCCAATATTTTATGCTACAATTTGGAACGAAGTTTATCAAGATATAATTGATAGATGCCACATTCAGGATGCTGTGAAGAAAAAGTATGCATGGCAATATTATAAGCTTGCTCTCCGTATTTGATTGCATCGACGTACTGATGAAGTCCTTCATAAGCTAAAGCGATGTTATAGTGTGTGATTGCGAGAGAAGGATGATTGGGAGGAACTGATTTGCGTTGAATTTTGAGACCTTTGTTGAAATAGTCGAGCGCTTGTGACCAATCATGTCTGTCAAGACAAACAACTCCCATATTAGAGTAGAGTGCACCGATGTGAGGATGAGTTGGTGGAAGAGTTTTGAGTTGAAGCTCCAAACATTGGTTGTAGTTCTTCAGAGCTTCTTCAAAACGGCCAAGTCTTAAAAGAACACCTCCGATATTATTGTAACTGATTGATACAGACTGTTGATCTAATTCAGGAGCTCCAAGGTCAATTTCGAGCGCTTTTTGGTAATGTTCCAACGCTCGATCCAATTCATATTTGTCCTCGTAAATCATTCCAATATTAGAATAAGTTGGACCAAGTTGTGGATATTAAGTGGCAAATATTTCAGCTCAAGATCAAGTGACTCCTAGTAATGCGATAAAGCGTCGTCAAGATTACCTTGTCCGCTATAGACAACTCCCAATTGATGGTGTAGGAAAGCAAGTCCTTTTTTACCATTAAAGGGGTGACGATAAAATTAATAATTCGTAGATTTCCTGTGCTCTTTCGTACTCTCCCATTCTTGCTGTTAACTGACCGAGTTTATGTAAACTTGTTCCTCCTTCAAGTTCTTCTTGCATGTGTTCGGTAAGAAGTGCAAGATTCTGGTCAACTTTAGTACTTGTTAATTTAAACTGTACTTCCCATATGTCAGATCGATTTGTTTGTTGTTGAATACTTTGAATTCGAAAAACAGTATGCATTGAAAAGAGAATCTCGTTTTCTTCTTCCATATAGCTGAGACCATTGAGAGATGTAAATGGACTTGATTGAATTTCAGAACAAATGTTCATTTTAAACAAAATAGCTTTTGTTTCCGGATTGCCCAATTGCCCCTCAGCAAAACCTTGAGCCAGTAATCTATCTGATGTCGTGGATAAGAAACTATTGAATGAAATTAGACCACCTGAGCTACTTTTTATTTTAGCGAATTCCTTGTTTGATACCTTAAAGAGAATAATAAATCATCATATCTTTTTTCTGGAGAGAAAAGTAAGCTTACTTTTGACCTCGATAAACAATCAAAATGTCTGTGTCGGTAGCTGTCAATGAGTGAATCTGTTCCAGTTGTTGATGAAGATCCTTGATAAAAAAGCCCATCTTAAAAAGAATCTCAGTGTTGTGTTCTCGTAAAGCTTGATTCAGCATCGGATAAATTAAAGACTCTCGTGTATACCACCACACAGGAGTGTGTTTTTGATAGTCTTGCTCAAATTCGTCAATAAAATATAATGCAAATCGATTGTCAGCATACTTCATGCGACAAAAATTGACAAATTGGTCTTTTGCCTGTTTACCAAAGTCCATTTTGATCAAGATATCTTTGAGCAAATATGAATACATAAACATGGCATTGAGTTCGTTTAAATTTTCCTCTTCTAATGATTCTAATGTTGTTTCACCATCATGAAAATTAATTGCACTTAGATTTGCATTACCAATTTGGTTTATATCTCGTTGGACACGATCACAAAGCGGATTGATATCGAAAAAGACACGTTTGAATTTGCGATACTTTGGTAACCAACGAAGTTCGGCAATTTTTGCCATATTTTTTGAACAAAAAACGTAGATCGAATCAAGTTGTGGTACATCATGAAGAAGAGGAATGATATATGTACTCAAAGTGGCAGAGATAATAAGAAAGACTTTTTTGTTTTCTATGTCGGTAACAAAATCAGCAAATGTATTGGGTTCATTGAATGCGTGAACGACACTGGTAACGTCATGAAGATGAGAGACCACGTCTTGTTGATCGTTTTCTCTATAGTCATGGAGCCAGACGACAATACGATTCTCAACGACTTTGGCATGTTCGTGACTCGACAGAGAAACTGGCTGCATCAGTAAATCTTAAATTGGATAAAAGTTATGTCTTTTTGTCAATTTTACTATCGAAAATGACCAAGTGCAAGGAAGCAGTAGCATACATATAAGCTTATTTTACCTCTAGATACTTCAGAAGTGCACAAGTATATTGTTTCATCCGTTCCTAAGTTTCTCTCATGATTGAGTCGCAACATTGTTTTTTAGTGTCGCTGATGAAAGATAATATCGAGCGACCATTATCTCTCTTATGTTTTATCAAGGTTGGCTTACCTGTTTCACATAGTAGACGAAAAACAAAACAAAAATGATTAATGCTTCTTTTTGTTGCTGCAAAATAAAACCAAAGCAAGCACAAATGTTATCTTTAAGTTTTATTGCTGTATAAAATCACATCAAGCAATTGCAGCAGAAATTCGGTGTCGTCAAGCAAACTTAATCGTCTATTGTGTTAACATGAGTTGGATGGCAAGATTCACATCCGCTACCCTTATCGAACAGTTAGTACTGCCACGGAATCTCTTCGGAACTAAGTAAGATTCTGTTGATCTTAGCCGCTATACAACAACTTCTGGTAATTAGATTCGAGAAGAGTGGTGAGTGGTGAGTGGTATATAGATATCTCTATTCGAATGCTGCACTCAGGATTGTAGCTACCAATCTCGAGTGAGATCAATCGAATACTACCAATATGTGGCAGCAAGTTAAATGCGAAGATGAAATCGAAGAAAACCAATGATCCAATGAAAAGAAATGTAATTGAGAAGCAAGTGAAAGAGCAAATTATGATATGAATTGGAGAAGAAAGACAAGCACCTGAAAAAAGAGATGGAGAAAATAAAAAGTGTACAAATTAGTGTTCGCAACGGTGTCCAGCTATTGGAGTTTTATGATTCAGGCAGCAATGCCTCAGTTGCGCTAAGACTTAATGTAAATTTCACATTTAAGGTCGATTAGAGCCGGTTACATGTACAGCTAGTTCTGCTCCCATTTAATGAATTGTTATTTTCCAAATTCAAATCGATTTTGAATCCTGAAGTTTAAATGAACGTGCTATTTTTCCTTGCAAACATTTGTGATTGCTGTCAGCCATGTGTGTAGATGTGGATGCGTCGGTTTGGATGAACAGAAAACGCTAAAACCATCTCACAATTATATCTACACTAGAAGTGCTGATAAATGGAAATGACCAGTCACACCATATTGTAAAGTGAGATTGAAGATGATTGTTTTTTTTTTAATTTTCATAGAAACCTGTGTTTACATAAATTGATATCTTTAATCATATCGTCATGTAGCTAGATCGCTCTAATATAACCATGGAAAAATAGCCTTCGTTTTCTTGAAATCAGATGAAAATGTTACTGAGCATTGTCTTTCATTTTTAATGTCTGATGCAAAAAAATCTTGCTTCAACGATGTTAAATGTCATTTATTCAAGAATCGAAATAAGTATATTTACTGCAATAAGTATAGCCTTGCCCTTTATTGATTCTTGCATTATAAGCAAAAGCCATAAATAATTACCCAACAAAATGACTGATAATTCAAAGAAAACTAGACAGCCAATACAATACTTTGCCCTATTCGAACGCTGTCTATTTTGTGACATTGTCTTTATCTTATCATAATCGCATTCATAACTGTAAGTGCCAATAGTGCACTTTGTATATATTAGAGTAACTATTGCCCATGCAACACATCAAGAAGTGAAAATATAATTGCGAATCCGACTATTTTTACAGCATACACTTCCGTTTTTGAATGACATTTCAAGCAGACATCTCAATAATTAAATTAAAATATTTAATAGGTGGGAACTGGTATTGTTCCTTTGGACCAGAGTTTTTCAAGAATTTTACCAGCAATCCAACGGCATTTATGATTTGAATTCTTTGCTTTATAGTTATTTGAACGTATTCTAGAAATGTCATATATGTTTCTTAATTCCAGATATATATCCAGTAGTGTCAGGAAGATGATCAATACAAGTTCAACCAGAAAAAATTTCAAAAATATTAATCAAGGCTTGTCCTGGAGAAATACCTGATATGGATATCATCTGAAGGTAAATTTCAATAATATCGAAAGAAAATTCAGATGCTGGTGGACAATTGCTAATAGAAAAGTTCTCTTTGACAGTATAGTACTAGTCATCAGCCTTCAACAGTGTATAAATATGTCGTTATTCGTATTTTTTATATTGTATGATGTCTTTTGTTAACAGGTAAACTGTCAGACTAATTGTCAATATCAATAAAATTACTCCTATCACTTTATATGCTGTTGGATGTTCTTTTCTTCATTTGTTAAAGCTATCAATGATACTCATTGTCGTTTGAATCACTTCTGTTACTCTGATTTTATTCTGTAAAGTAGTCTAAAAGTTGATAAACATGGCTAACATCGTTTGAATGTTCGACAATAACAGTAATTAAAATCCTTAGCAGATAGTACATATAATTGAACGTGAAAAAAATGAAGCATGATTCTATCAATTATGGATCGTGTACTTAATCAGATAGCTGAGGGATAAATTTTGACTAGACTACATACATATTGTTTTTTGAAGAAATGTTCACGTCATGATGAAATTTTCAATAAATACGGAAAGACTTTCAGTGTACTACAGTGTTTTTCTTTTTCTGTCGCATGCTAGTTAAGAAATATTGCAGTTAAGATTTTTCAAGCGCGAAAAGTAATATTTACTTGATATTCAAGTTGCGTCAACTTAAAAGTCAAGTAAACTTGAAGTAACATCCGAAGTTCGAATTGGTCTTATTCTAGAGTTTACCTTTGAGAACCGTCGCAATCCAAAAGATGACACATTTTCTTGGTGAATTCAAACGTTGAAACAAAGATCCGCTATGAAAAGAATTGGTTTATTCTCACCAAGATAAAAAATAATACCTAAATGGGAACGTTTTTTTCCATCAATATATAAAATTGAATTGAAATAATCCAACATTTAAGTGGAAAAACTATTCATACAAGATGAGAATAGAAAAAATGGAAATTTTCAGCACGTGATGGCACACTGTAGACCATACATTTATCCTAATATTGTCAGCAAGAACTCCGAGTGTGGTTATGGGCGTAGGTGTGAGTATGAATGCAAGTCTGGTTGAAACGACGATTTATATTCACGCTGATCGACACCCAAATATTTACAACCACATCCTACTGCTATAATTCAACATTGCAATCACTTGCCTTGTGTCATTTTCAGAATACAAACATATAGTATTTCATTTTATTAATAACTGAATACTCGAACAATAAATCTTACAAATAAAATGAGAATTATATTGTTAAAAAGAATTGAAAAGTGATCTGTTAAAATCGTCTTTTTTTTTCATAAAATATCATTGCTAGAAATTATATCGAATATATAGTTCCATTTAACCATATTGAGTTCTTCAACAAGCATCTCAAAAATCCATTGCTTGATGAAGGAAACATGTGTCAATCAAATGCAAGAACAAGCTCTACTTGAGAGTGTGAGTGTAGGTGAGGTTGAAAGGGAGTACCGATATCCACACCATCTACAGAATTGGCATCACGAAAATTTTAAAAGCCATCTATCAATCTTTTGCCTTCCCTCGATATGACATACCATAAGTAGTGAATTTGGAAGATTAAGTTCCACACCAAAGTGTTAATCATTTTTTGTTCTAAAAAGTATTTGGGCTAATAGCCATGCTTAATCAGGTACCATCGATTTGTTTACAAACAATTGTTGAAGCTATGTTTCAAATAATCTTTGATGAATCTTTTAATCAAAGATTATGTTAAAAAAAAACTATCAGTAAATATCTTCAAACAAATCGATTATACGTAATTAAGCATGACTATCAGCTCAAATACTTGCTAGAACAAAAACTTAATTAACACTTTCTTGTGGGATTTTATTTGCCACTATCTTTGCTTTTGGTATACTCTACGTATAAATGGTATTACAAATATAGTTTATATGACTTATTATTCACGATTTGGTATTCTTATTTTATTAATTACAATACGAATTATATTTGGTTTACTTGCTTTTATTAATGTATAAAGTGTAATAACATGTAAAATTCATATTATTTGTTGGAGACAAGTTCAATAATTAACAGAAATAGTTTTTTAATAGAAATTATTTTAGTTTTTCTTTTCTAATAATTTTTTATAGGATATAATTGAAGTAGTTTTTGATAATATATTTGCATGACTGTATATAATAAATTATCTTTATTCATCAAATAAATTATTTTTAAATGAAATAAATAATAAATGAAAGCAATTGATTTCTTCATGAAAAACATTTTTATATTGTTCTGATTTTGTCGTAAGCTTTTTTTTGTTCATATAAGCTTCATTTTATATTTATGGATGTATATAAGCACGTTTTCATATATTAGTGTTGACAATAAAAATGAATACCATGTAACTTTCTTGAAGCTAAGTCATTATTGAAGTATGTGCACACAAAAGATAAGATTATCGCAAAGGCAATAGCTGTCACACACAAAAATTTATGCAAAATGAAGTACATTATATGAAGAAAGGGGAGGTGTGATTAACTATTACGTTTTTATATTCACAACATTGTGTGTACATTGTTTTTTTACTAAGTCATCAATTGTAAATTATGTTATAAATTAAATTTGTATATTGAAATATATTCGAAACAATACATAACATACTATAATTGGATGTCATATGAATCGATTCGACTAGTT